GGTTTAACCAACCAACTTGAATTTTAATAGCATCCCCATCCATATCACCATAACTTTGAACAATAGACCCGATCGATGCATGCATTCATCCGCTTCAACTAATCAACTCTAATTCTACTAATAACAATATCCCTTTATCACCATCACTTTAACAATATACCCGATGTATTCCTTTACTCGAGCCAATCAATGAGAATTCTACTAATAAGATCCCCTTAATTTATATATATGCCTAACACCTAAACTTTTTTTTTATGAAGATTTTCAAGTATAACACTCAATTCTTACATATATATTTATATATATATATAACACCTAAACTTCAATTTTTACATGCATACCACATCCCTATAAATGCATTTCAAACATATCACTCATTTCTTATGTTTATACACACTGAACTCCTAAACTTCAATTTTTACATACATACCACTGAACTCTTATGTATATAGATACCTAACATCAAAACTTCAACTTTTACCTACATACCACATTATCTATGCATTTCATACATATCACTCAATTCTTATGTATAGACACACCTAACAACTAAACTTCAATTTTTACATGCATATCACATATAAATGAAAATACTGGCGCGAATAGACTTATCTTTTTCAATACTTTCTGATAGGAGTGGAGCAGAAGGATGAGAAATACGATAGTTTCAATGGTCTTTGCAAGCTTAATCCGATCGTTACCTTCCCAATTAGCTCTAATGGTGACTGTATTGAGAAGGTTCGTTCGGGGAAGGCAATAGTTTTGAGCGAAACCAAAGGGAGAGAGATAGGGGAGAGAGGAAGCTTGCGACGGCTTCGGACAGAAGAGGAGACTGGGAGAGGCGCGGAAAGAATAAATAAAATTTTGGTACTCGAGATGGGTTTATTAGGCCATTTGCGTCGAATTTTTGTCAATTTTGAGTCGGATTTAGTTTGAAGCTAACAAGTTAAGTTGTTACGTTGCTTTGTTAGATGCAAATTTGATGCTAAATTTGTCGCACTCTAGTTGAAGTTTTGTCATTTTTAGAGTACTTCCGTCGAATTTTAAATGCAAATCAGACGCAAAATCCTCCATAAATATCAAAATTTATTATTCTCCACCTAACAACCGTAAATCAGACGCTAGTATTTGCGTTGGAATAAGCCAACACAAATATCAAATGTTAATAAAAACATCTCCTGTAGTAAATGCTACGATGCTAAATTTATAACTCTACCACCGCAGACCTTCCGACACGTTTCATTAGTAATAGTTGATCTAGTGGCGGGTGATGCTTGAAAAGATTGTATGATTTTTTTTATGTTTTGCACATCTTTTTGAATGAAATTGCACTTTAAAGAAAGAGAGTAAACAAATAAATGCTCCTATTTTTCACAAACTATACTTTATTTTGCATTTCTGCCACATCCACACTATACCTTTATCACTGCAAGGAAAAATAAATTTAGTATTTGGCAAAACCAATTCACATTGCTTAGTTAGAATTTATGTCACTAGGATTGATAACATAAGTCAAGAATTTGAAAATTCCAAACTAAGAACGAAGTCAACAGACTAAAACATTATCCTTTATATTCCCATTGTTCACTGTGGGTTCGACATCGCGGCCTCTTTTAGAGCACTATTTATTGAAACAATACATATACTTGCATAAGAAACTCCAGTGTACAGGAATATATAGTTTCAAGAATTCACCTAAGTTGCTAGTGAGCAAATCAAGATATCTGATGTTATAACCAGGACTTATATAATTATGATAATCGCTGGGGCGGATCAGCGCGGGGTTGTAACAATGGTTGATCAATTCATTAAAAAGAGTGAATATTTTAGATATCTCGGGTCTATTGATCAAAGTGATGGTGATATAGATGAGATCTTATTAGTAGAATTGAAGTTGGATGGTTTAAGTGAAGGATTGGATCAGACCTATTGTGTGATAGAAAAGTACCTATTGGACAAGAAAAAAATTATAAGATGTTGGTGAGACTTACAACACTTTATAGAGCATAATGTTGACCTGTAAAAGAGAAGCATAAAATTAAGTGTTGCTGAGATGAGAATGCTAGGTGGATGACTGGTTTTTCACTTAGAGACAAAATGCAAAATAAGTATATTCGTGAAAGGGTTGGAGTAGCTCCAGTGGAAAACAAGATTAGAGCGAGCCACCTTAGATGGGTTGGCCACATTAAATGTCGACCATCTGATGATTCAATTAAGAGAGTAGATGTTTTATATCTGACTTATGCTAAGAAAGTTAGAGGTAGAACTAAAAAGGCTTGGGCATGTTGTATAAAAAAATGATCTCAAGTTATTAGAATTAAATAAAATATGACACTCAATAGGATACAATGGAGAAAAAGGGTTCATGTAGCCGACCCTGCTTAGTTGGATAAAAGGCTTCTTGTTGTTGTTGTTGTTCTTTTTGTAATAGATTTAAGATACTTAAACCTATTATACCTAGCTATTTCCTCATCTTCCAAAAATATTAAATAAGAATCATTAGTTGTATTCCTCTTGAAAGTAGGTCGTACACAATTTCTTAAAAACTAATTTAAAAATTCCATCTTCTAAACATTTATTCCACAATTCTAATTTTTTTAAAAGCAATGGTTATTTACTAATTAGTCTCTATTATCTGCAAAATACATATATTAGGTGGTCTTGCTTTGATATCATTTACAAGCATTTTCATCGTTACTGGTCTTTGATGTAAACCTACAAGAATGAAAACTCTTAGGCTACTTTACAATGATTCTAATACTAATCAGCAATCAGTGCTTTGTCGTACATTTATTTGATAACGTCAGATATCTTTAATACTCATCTTTCCATCATAAATCACATCTAATTAGTTTGTGGTACTTGATTATGTGTATTCAAAATGAATAAAAGTTATATGAAAATCATTTTTTTTTCTTCTGCACATCTCCATTAATTATTTTGACATAGCATTTATTTCTATATTTGATTTTTCCAACGTTAAAGAAAATTCGTTCTCTAAAGTTGATGTAGATTTTCTAAGCTTATACTCCACAACTCTCTCTCATAGCTTCATTTTGTGACATAAGTTGATTTGTTTTATAGTTAGCAGTCATAGCTTCAACTTTGTTTATAAATATTCGTACAAAAATATTTTTTTCTAAATATTTGACACTCACTTAGTGATTTAAATTCTCTTAAAAAGATTTTTTAAGCACTCTATAATATCTTTCAAATCTCATTTGAATCTATAGCATTCCGTTTATGTATCTTTTAAAGAGCTAAGTTAACTTTTTTTATTATTTTATAATATGCTTCACCATATTGCTTGCTATACTCTTTTAAGATAATTTCCTCCTTACAGCTTTCATTTAATAGTTCTCTAAATTATGATTTCTTTATTTTTCTTTGATGTCATCATCTTTAAAACCAAGGTCCTATTTTCTTCTCTTTCAATGTATCTAACTTAATCAAAATTCCTATTCCTCTTATTCCTTTATTATCTTATGTTTCATTTTCTCTTTCTTTAGTAGAAAGCTCATTACATAATTCGATAAATGTTACAACTACAGACAACCCTATTTGTAAGATTATGGCACATTTTTTTCTTAATAATTCTATGTGCATCCTTACCTCACCATCAAATTCTTTATCAATATATGTTTTATTTGTATAATCCTCTAATACTTATATGACAATTCTTTGAATGGAACAATCCATCTCATATCAATTCAAGTTCAACTTAACTAAATAATTCTAATTTGCTTCTCTTATAAATTCATATTAAAATACTAGCAATTTCCTTCTTTTCAAATTCTGCCACATTAATGCAGGTCCATAATCTTTTGATTGATTTTATATACTTTTAAAATTTATAACCATAAATACTAACTTATATTATGCGGTCAAGCTTCCTTCTAGAATCATCTTAAAATCTTTTCAATAGATTTTTCTTTCTCCTAGAAATTTTGCATAACTTCTCCAATTGTATTTCTATATCATATTCAATGAACACCATATATCTTCTCATAGCTCGATACCGTTACATACACAAAGTCAATTAAAATAAGAGGACAGCAGACCAACCCAGAAAATTTTTTTCGTAGATAGTATCTTTTAATTCTCAGGTCAACGATTGTGCTTGAAGGCGAGTAAGAGTTGAAAAAAAATGAGAAGCATTTTCCCTTTCGGATGAAAGAGTGAAAGCTTAAAAGGAGCTATAGCTCAAAATGAGAG